GTCTTCCCCCCACCCCCATTGAATTGGAAGAACTTTTTCATGTTTTATTGGATGTCATGTAAACATTTAGATTCTTTAGCAGGCCGAGATAGGGTATAATGACACTTGAAAATTTGCCAAACACTAAAAATTTATTGCTAATTTAAACCCTCTACAAAGTAAAAGAAATGAGTTTCTTAATAGAAATCCAACTTTATAGATTATTTCAACAGTGTTTTTCATTAACTTCAGTTAATACTACTTTACTATTTTAGCTTTTTTGTTTGTTTGTTTTTGCTTTAAGACAGGGTCTGTGTGGCCTTGGCTGTCCTGGAACTTGCTTTGTAGACCAGGCTGGCCTCAAATTCACAGATGTCCACCCGGGTGCTGGGGTTAAACATATATGCTACCATGCCTGGCTGTTCCAGCATTTTAAAAATCCAAACATATGAAATACATAAAATCAGATGTCCTACAACAATGATACTCTGATGATTTTCAGAATTTTTAAAGTCCGTATTTGTTTGTATGAAATAGAAAGGATCAACAAAAAACATCGATCAATAAACAATCCAAACTTTAACTTTTCCCATATTTTTCTTTTATTTTTGGATTATAATTATGTCATTTTCTCCTTCCCCCTTTTCACTTCAGGCCTTTCCCTATACTCCTCCAGCTGTTTTCTTTTTTCTTTTTTTTTTTTTTCTCCAGCTGTTTTCAAATTCATGGCATTTTTCATTGTTGTTACATGCATATATGTATATAAATATAGAACACACACACGTATGTATATGTTACTAAATACAACCTACTCAGCCTGTCTAGTGTTACCAAATAGTCAGGGCTGACTATTTGGCATTGGATAACCAACAGTTGTGTTCTTCCCCAGAAAAAACCATTTCTCCCGCTCTCTGAATTTCTCAGTTTCCTGTTCTTTGAGAAGAGTTGAGGCCTCTAAGACTTTTCCTCATCCACTGGCATGTCCATTGGTGTCACCCTTGTTTAGCTCGTGCTTAGGTAGTCATATTGGTGAGACGCTGTGGGTGTAGCTTCTGGGATTACCAGGAGACACCATCTCACAGCGAAGCGGGACCTTCTGGCTCTTACAGTCTTTCTATTCTCTCCTCTGCTGTGTTCCCTGAGTCTTCAGTGTGGGAGTGTTTTGTAGATCTGGGCAAACTTTTAACTATAAGACAAAATTCAGAAACAATAATTTACTATTGTGACATATTAGGTTAATGAGCTCACTGCTAGATTAATTCCTCAATATCGCGGTGGTGACATTTATATGAAGAGACATATGAGGTTTTTTGTTTGTTTGTTTGTTTGTTTAGTAACTGATTATGTCATCAATTATGAGTTCCTGACCTGATTTCCTTCCATCGCAGACTGTGATGTGCAAGTGAATTGTGATTTTTTCTTAGACTTGGTAAGTTTGTCAAAGAAGCAAGGTCATGAAAGAAGATGAAACAGTCTTAATTCTAGAAAGCCTGGGGAAGGTGGAGATGTCACTGTACATTCTAGAGATGAAGTAGAATGATCCAAAAATCTTACACTCTTGCTTTGGTTGTGGGGAAATATCAATGTGAATTGTGGGTCAGTTGTATTGAGAAGTAAACAAGAAACTATATTATACACAAATCTCTATTACAGTATCTTTCATAAAACAATGCAGCAAAATATGAATGGAGCTGCTGTCTATTACAAGGACAAAAGAATACACAAATAAAATTAGTATAAATGTTAGTGTAAATAAATGATACTTTATTATAAAAAATAAGTATATTAGCTCCTCCCCTGACTCTTGTCACGTGATTTGATTCATAAAGTTCTGTCAGCCAGGATACAAAGTGAATAAATTATAATAAATAATAAAAGAGAAGTTTTATATTTGAACTCTAAGTGTGGTAATATGGAGAGACAAGTACATGCTGGTTTTAAAGGATATTCAATATTGTCCATCCAAGTTTATCTTGTGTTAACATAGTAGATGCTTTGTCTTCTGAATATGCATCCTGCAAGCAGCATTATGTAGTTATTTAATGGAAAACCTCTCCTACTTGATTCTGCTGTCACTTAGTTTTTAAATTACCTGCTATTTCTCTTTTCACTTTCTCGTTCACTCCTTAATCAATTGCAATTAGATTTCTAAAACTCCATTTACTTTCTATCATCCATTGATGGCCTCATTGCCTAAGGATCTTTTACATATGCTTTCTTCATTTCAGTCTTTCAGTATTTTATATGAGTGAACTCTCTGTTTAATGGGTTAAATCTTCCTAGTAACCAAGTGTATTGGTTTCCTGAAGTTGCTATAGCAAACTACTAAAAGTGTGGGCACCTTAAAAACACAACAATTTATCTTCTTTCAGTCAAATTACTGGTACAGTGGCAGAACTCTTGACTAGCACACATGAGGTCCTAAATTTAATCCCCAGTACAGAAAGAAATGTCTAATAAAAACAGAAAGGTAGGGCATTAGGTTTATTTCATGCTGTTCATAAGAAATGATTAGGCTTTTCTACTATTCCTGGCGACAAATTTTTCTTGGTAGTAAAATTTTATACTTCAAAGGAGTTCACACTTAGTTTCGTATAGACTTAAGAGAGAGTCTGTTTTAAGTTACAGTCATGAACAGAATTTCATGAATGAAATTACAGAATGGCTGCCATTATGTTCACTGATAATATACTTGACTATCCTAAAGCAAATTTCATTGTCTGAAGATAATGTAAAGATTTTCATATAAAAAGTGAAAGGAGAAATTATCAGAATAAGATAGTTTTGTTAAAGAATAAAAGATATTTTGACAGCAGTTGAATATCTATAACTCTTCAGATGTGAACTGGAATATATGGATTTTTGAAACCACACTTCTTTGTAGGTTTGTCTTCTAGTGTATTGCAATTTGTGTCACGAAATTCAGACATTTACATCTTGCACGAGTCCTGTGGTATGATTTCTTCCTAAATATATGCAGTAAATCTATAGTTATTGCAGATAACAGACATGCTAGAAATGTTTGTGGCTTGACATTGGATTTTTTTTCATTTATGAAAAGATGATATAACATGGTTTTAAAATAATAGAAAATACCACTTAAATAATAAAATACAGAACTTTATTATACATACACCATGCACACAAAGCTACCTTTCTTATCTACTGCTTTTTAAGTTCTTCAGTGGATGGAGCTATTGGCTTTGAAATGACTGGGACAATAGGTCGTATTTCAAAAGAGAGTCATCTCGAAAGCTGTGCGGTCCTTGAGTCTTTGCCAAGACACAGGGATTCCTGCTTAAGAGGTGAGCAGTGTGGTTAGTTAAAAACTTCCGATTATTATCATCAGATTATTATTCAGATTATTATCATCATCACTTAGCTCAAAACGAAAGACCACCCTAATTTTCTTAGATTTTACTTACTCTACATATTTGACAGCCTTCCCAAGTCAGGAGAGGAAAAAAATTCACTCGACATTGTCTAGTGTGAATGGATGAAATGGGTCTTGAAAAATCAAGTGGTACTGTGTGAACCTTCCCTGCGTTGCACTTACTGCTCATCATGAGCCTGTACCAGGTCAAAATACATCCTGCATCAAACTTTGAAGTGTCTGCCGCCTTTCTCTGCTGAGTACTTTGAATATTTATGGTGAAATACTTGGTAAATAGATGATTTGATGGCTAGATTCACTTATTTTCATTTCTCTGGTTGCTGAGTAAATAGTATAGAGCAATAAAATTGAAGAGCCGAGTAGGTATTGCCTAAAATATTGACTTAGAGTTTCACTTTCATTTTTGCTAAAAAGACTTCAATATTTTATTTTTCTAAATTAATTTCAATGAATGTTTTTTTGCTGTATGTTTGAGTCGCCCTTGAAGTGACATTATGCGGTTCAATATGGCACAGCTTTACTTTTCTCCTTATATAATATGCTCTTTAAAAGATTCAGAATAGTAGAAAAATTCATTTAAAAAATGATTTTAGTGATCTGGGTGCTCACGCCTGTAATCCCAGTACTCAGAGAGGTAGAGGCAGGTGGATCTCTGTGAGCTTGAGGCCAGCCTGGTCTACAAAAGCTAGTTCAGGGCAGCCAAGGCTACACAGAGAAACCCTGTCTTGACGCCCCTCCAAATGATCGTGGTGGTTTTTGTTGTTATTTTGTTTTCACTTTATGTTGGTGGAGTTTCGGTGTTAGAGAACTGTTCAATCTGAGCCCCCATTTCATTGATGTAAAATGACACCTGAAAGATGAAATGCCAGGACCAGGCGAAATTTAGCTCACAGTTTGATGGTAGTAGGGAGAGAACACTTGAAACCATTCTCCACAATTTAACAAACATATGTTCATAAACTTAATAGCACAATTAAGATTTGAGATACACTCACGAATGTTAATAATCACGACACGGTTCAGGTTGTTCTAGCGCACAGAGATTCCCCGTTCACTGCCATGACTGTTCCAAGGGAACAGTCTCACGGGGCAGTAAAGGCGTGTCACTGCGGGCGGTGCCTCTCCACTCACGAGATCTGCTTCTTCATGTTGTTGTACGCTTAGCGGCTCCTTCTGGACTCCTCTACCCATAAAACTATCATAGTAAACTGTAAAGTACAAAACAATTATCCCTAAAGCAGTTGCTGGGACACCCCCTGCCTTGCTCCTCCAAGAGTCTGTGTTCATCCAAGTTGATCTTTCTTTCTTTCTTTCTTTCTTTCTTTCTTTCTTTCTTTCTTTCTTTCTTTCTTTCTTTCTTTCTTTCTTTCTTTCTTTCTTTCTTTCTTTCTTCCTTTGGTACATACTCACAGATGATGACCAGGCACCAAATTAAGTCTTAACAGGCCCCAGGTTTGGGCTCGGAGGTGAGCAGTATCACACTGCTCAGTGTTGGGGCCACCTGTTTCCTTGTTCTTTAACTAATTCCTGTTAGTTTAAAAGTGCTTTTCAAAATGTTTTCACTTTCATTTGAGAAATCACGGTCTTCCTTCAAGCCTTTAACTTATTTTCATGCTTTCCTCCTTAGGGATGCTGATCTTTTCCTGCTAGATACAAGGAAGGCGCAAGCTGTAGACGTGGGCTGGCTTGTCTTTGACATCACTGTGACCAGCAACCACTGGGTGGTTAATCCACAGAATAATTTGGGTTTACAGCTCTGTGCAGAGACAGGGGACGGTAAGTAGTTTTGACCTGAATGTTTTTGATGGGGCTTTGCTTCGACCCCTTTGTTATTTAATAGAACTTTTATTACTTAGCTACTGGGCAACACATTCCTTTGGATAATGCAAAATACTGAGATATCAATTCATGGAGTTGTGTTTATCTTCTGTACCTTAGGCAGAGAAGCCTAAGCCATTCTTTTCAGAGCCCTGTCAGCCCTTCATCACACAGAGTTCACACACTGTGATTCAAACCCATACTTGTAGGTACCTCAAAATTGTCATGTTAGGAGGGTAGACCATCATTATTCAGTAGTATGCTTGTTTCATAATTTTTAAATATATCAAAAATACCTGATGCCGATATCCAATATCTCATGCCCTACAACCTTCTTGTGATACACTTAGGTTCAGAGACCATGGTGCTTAAAGTGTTATTGATCGGAAGGCATCCTTACTGAAGCTTCACCATCCTCAGTTTTTCCCAGAACTAGTGACTCATTTAGTTCCCCTTGCTGTTTTATTCTATTGCCACGATAGACTGCACACTTAAACACAATTATGGCCTCTCAGGGGTCTCTCTCAAAGGAAGTAATGCTGCATGTAGTAAGATTTCCTGTTTCACCTGTAACCAGGTTTATAGTCTGTCAGAGACATCATAAACAACGTTGTGCCTACAAAGATCGTACATATGGAATGAGGTTGACAGTCACAAATTGAACATGTCACAAGGTTAATCAAGTGGATGCTTTATGTGACCCCATATCCTGATCTAAAAAACAAACAAAAACCAAACCAAAACCAAACCCCCAAAACCTCTCATGTTCTTATTGAAAGTGTGATTGGATAAAGTCTTGGACTCTTCTGTCCCCAAGTAAAAATTTTTCCACAGATCTTCATTCGCAATGATGAATTTAAAAATTTTGTAAGCAATTCGATTATGTTGCGCTGTAGAATGTTTTATATACGCGGGTTTAAAATTGTTGGAAGCCATCAAGTCTAAACATTATAAATGTAAACCAAGGGAAAACATATTTAAATGAGTTCCGACAATTCTCACAGTCTTAAACTACTGTCTACTTATGGTCAGAAATGGGACTCGGGAATCAGCTTTGTGGGGGTGGAGCCAATTGTTTCTTCTTTGGTATGTGGCCCAAAGGAGAGAAATTAAATCAGTGGTGTGTACTTATCCCAGCATTCTCCCAAAGGATACCCCTGAAATGTCTAACTAAACAAATCAAGAAATCTATGAAACATGATCAGCCTGTTTGTTTCTTTTTAATTTCCTCCCCTCCTCTTGCTGCACATTCATTTGCTCTTCTCCCCCCCTCCACTTTCTCCTGCCATTGCTTTTCTATTTCTTTCACTATTTATGAATTTAATTTAATATCTGTTTTACTGTTGATTTCTTTTTTCTCTGATAACTTTACATATTGAGTTTCTAATCGTCCTTGATTTATTTCTCTTACATTTCATGAGTAATTATGAGTAATTAAAAACTATATAATTTAGCAATTTGAGCCCAAAATAAACTAGCATTGAATTCTTTTCAAATACTTCAAATTTTTAGAATTTAAGTTTAGATTTGTATCCTACATTTTGTGCTTTTCTTTGTTTCTATAGCAGTCAAATGCGAGAGAATATTAAAATAATCAAATGTGCCAAGCTATCTGGTCTTTTGTGTGCAAGTAATCTTTAAAACACTTTTTAAGATAATAAAAGCCAGAAAGGGAAGATTTATTCAATGTGGCCACAGTGCAACAGGGACAAAGACATCCAGTGACCCCTGCCCACTCGGGTCTATCTTGAGCATCTTGTCATGAGGATAAGGTTTAAAGAAGCAAGAGGTACACTTGGCAAAGCAGGACCATGAGGTGTGGTCACTTGCCCAGCACTGTTTTGGTGCCAAAGTTCCTTCTTTGACATTTGTCTCCACTTCACGATCTTCTGATAAGTTCCTTCTCTGGCTACAGCACTTTTTTTTCCCTCTCTCTCTGTAGAACTTTTTTTTTAATTCTCATTTTTAATTTTTTTTAATTTAAATTTTTATTTTTTTTCTTCACAATTTATTCATTATATATCCCGATTGAGGCCTCCTTCCTCAACCTCCCTGAATCCCACCCTCCCTCCCACTTCTCCCAATCCCCTTTCTTTAGTCCACTGAAAAGGAGAGTTTTCCATTATTGCCATCTGCCCACAGCTTGTTGAGTCTCATCAGGACTGCCTGGATCTTCTTCCTCCGTGGTCGCATCACCAGGGGTGATGTGATCAGAGAGCAGTCAACTGAGTTCATGACAGAGGCAGCCCCGGCTCCCCTCGCTCAGAGATCCACATGGAGACTGAGCTGCCAGTCAGCCACATCTGAGAAGGGGGTCTAGGTCCTCTCCATGCATGGTCCTCCCTTGGTGCATCAGTCTCTGCAGGACCCCCTGGGCTCATCTTTTAGCTTTGTTGGTCTCCTTGTGGGGCTGCTGTCCCTTTCATGTCCCTCTATTCCAACCCCTCTCTTCTTCCATAAGACACCCTGCACTCTGCCCGAAATTTGGCTGTGAGTCTCAGTGTCTGCTTCGATCCCCTGCAGTTAGTTTCAGGTTATCTCGCATAGGAACCATTTTTTCACAAGCCCTCTGCAGATCCATCTTGTTTAGTTTGACACGGGTCACACAATGAGGCCTAGGCTGCCTTCAAACACGCCACGCTCTAGCTTTCCAAGTGCTGAGACTGCAGTGAACACCAGCATGCCCAGCATGACTTCACTTTAGTTCCAGCAACTTCCTTCCTGATCAGTATTCACAAAGACTTGGCAGGAAGGAACTCTCTGATAGCTCCTTTTCTGTGGTCCCTCATCACTGGAATCAGGTTTGATCTTAACCGGAAGCGGGGCATATATAACTTTGGGACACTGAGCACCCTTGTGATACCTTAGTTTTATTAGCTGCAGCCTCAGAGCAAATATACACATGACATTTATTAATGTCACATGTATAAATATAAAATAACTACATGTTTCAGCTCTTTGTAGTTTTATTCATTCCCAATGATGATGTGCATTCTCAAGGTTCTCAAATTAAGTTTTGCTTATCCTCTCCTGTAAAGAAAAATGACAAATGGGACATTATTTCAAACAGAGCCAACAGGCAATCTTTCATTTGCAAGATTGGACTGTGAATATACTTTTTGAAGTAAAATTCTTTGTTTTGTTGAGGCACAGCCTTCTGTATCCCAGGCTGGCCTCAAGTATATTAGGTAGCCAAGGAGATGATGATTGTCTTATCCTCCGGCCTCTGCTTCTGGAATGCTGGGATTACAGAAATGTGCCACTACCCGAGGCATCGGTGGTGCTGGGATAGAATGCAGGCTTTCTTGCACTCCAGACAATCACTCTATTATTGGCTTACATCTATACGCCCAGCTTTGGGGTAGGGTCTTAAGAAACAGATGAAGAGAGAGAATTTTGGGGATGTGAGGAGAGGCCGTAGAAACTGGAGGGGTAATCTGTTTCTGGGTGAGGGAATAATGTTAGTAAATGTAGAGAATGGCAATCATATGGTCTGCTCAGGGGCAAGTTTACCGTCCGGAACTGGGCAGAACAACGTTCATTCATAAAAATTGGCTGCAGATGCTATTAGAAAAGTGAATCTAAGTTAAGTACAATATACTCTTACAACTAGATCCTGAGTCATAGGAAACTATTGCTTTAATCAGCCCCAGGAACGCATCTGTGATCGTGTGTTTGGATTAATATCAGTTTCACGGCGACAGGAATTGTGTATCTCTCATTTACAGTTGTCTCTATCTAGCACGCTTGGCACAATGCAGGGCAATATGTATTTAATAAAATTGTCCTGAGGGATAGTGAAGCAGTTCGGTGGGTAAAGTCTCCTTATGCCAAACCTGGTGACTGGACTTCAGTCCTCAAGGCACCTGTGGTAGAAGGAGTGAAGTAATTCCTGCAAGTTGTCCTCTAACCTCCACGAATATGCCATGGCATGCCTGGCCCCAAAACATATACATATATACATACATATATACATAAATACATTTATATGCACATATATAAATATATGCACACAAAAATAAATGAATAAAATGTAACAAGCTGTGCTTCAAAAATCTATCTTAAAAATTAAATAAGGCCTTTGTGGCCCACTTGTAAACAAGAGCAAACCACAGTCCAGTGGTTAAATAGCTTTGATCACAAAATGAGGAGAAAGTCAGAGAGATGTACTATTAAATTTTAGTTAGCCTCCTCTGTAACGAAAAATGGAAAACAGCTCTAAATATATTTTGGAAATCAAAGATTATTGAAATGAAAAGCAGCATTGTGACTCAGAGAACCTGTGGAAAATATGTCTGTTTGTGAAGTAATCTTTTCAGAAATTTGACAAATGAACTGCAATGGATCTGTTATGAGAATTTAGTGATATTTTGTTGAATTTTTTTCATGCTTAACAGATGATTTCCTGAGTTCCATTTATTTGTTTCTACAAAACAAAGCAAACATTTCAGACCTATCTCATTTTTTTTCCTTGCAAAATCCAGAGCCTCTAGACAAGTTATTTTATGTATTGTATAAAATCATTTTTAAAGTTGTCCAACATTCTTTCATGACAGCTACTAGCTTCTCTGGTAAAAATAGGCACTATTTTAAAAATATTAAACAGGCTTAGATTGATGTTATTACTTATGATATTCAGTCTTCTAATCCATTTCTAGTACATATATGTAACTTTCACACAGTATGTACATGGTTTATTAGATAGTAATATAACCTCACTTTTAAGACTTGGAGCTCCCTACAACACACCAACATGGCAATTTTCCACTGTTTAGTACTTTATATGTTTAAACCTTCCAAGAAAATTAGTTTCTTTTTTTTTTTAAACACGGATTTATAGAATAATTTAAGGATGGAAAAACAAAGATAGTATTTTGGGGTTCATTATGATGTTGGTTGAAAAGCCCTGTTTTCAGACATTTTATATTTGGCAATACCAAGGTTGAATTTTGCCAATG